TTAAGAATCCCTCCTCTACAGTATTGTTCCTATTGGACTTGCCTAATCTATAAAAAGTTACCCACAATTACAGCCGTTCCCCTATTGAACATGTCTTTAATTCTTTTTAATGGCGTTGCCAACTTCACTCCAATAATTTTTTTTTGCGCCTTGGTGTTTCTCAGCTCTATCAACACAGATTCCACATTGTCTGGGTTTACTCACAATTGTATTAAATTTCCTCTTTAACAAGCAATGCGACTACCACCTTTTCCTTTTTGGCTGTTCTTTCCTGGGCACTGAACAGCCCCGCCATGGACTTGCACAATTAATTCATTCACTTTACTGCAAATGCTCTGCATACTAAAGCACAAAGCCTCAAGGCTCATCCTTGGGATTTGTAAACATTCTAACAATTCAGCTTTATCTTTATTACATTGTGTTAAGGGTGCGACTGGAAAAAACAAACCAACATTTGAGACTGTTCACCTGATACAAGGCACACAAAATATTCGTCCCATCTTCTTTTCTTCAGATGCTGACTGATCAGCCATTTTGTATGCAAAGTACACAATAGCTTTTTTCCATTTTCAAAAATGAACTTATATTTGTATCGCACTTGACATGACCTCAGGCCATTCTAAAGTGCTTTGGAGATGATAAACTACTTTTAAAGTATCACGATTACAATTCTGCAATATTTAATCATCAGTTCATGACATGGGTATCTGGTCACTAACAGCTGACAGCAAGTGATTAAAGAAATACACACGTAAAAGAATAGTCACACCTGATCATTCAGTTGCCGGATAGTCTTTTCAATGTGTGGCAGTAATCCACGAAATGTGAACTCCTGAATGAACTGTCTAATTCGATCATGATCAGTCAGTGTTAAACTGAGTCCATGAGCAGTTGCGGTGTTTTGTTTGATTGAATCATTCACCATCTCAGGCTTTGGTCGGTTAGGACCATCAAGTCCCCCTGACTTCACAAGACCATCCTCCTGAAATAGATGGGATTTAAAGTCGTTTGGAATTCGATCTGTTAAAAAATGAGAGCAAGCAGTTAGAAACATTGAAAAAAAAAAGTAAGGCATTCAGCCCTTTAAACCTGCTTCACCATTCAATATGATCACAGCTGATCATCCAATTCAGTCCCCTGCTCCTGCATTTTCTCTATACCCTTTGATTCTTTACAGGGCCAACAGCTATAATCAATCTCTTATTAACCTCAACCGCTTTCTGGTGGCAGAGATTTCACAGGCTCACAACTCTTTGGGTGATGAACTTTCTCATCTCAGTGCTAAATGGCCTACAGTGCATCGTTAGTTCCTGACAGTTAGTCTAAAGTTCTGTAGGCTCTAACAAAACCTCCCTGCTCTAATCTATGCCTCGATAGATAAAGTCATGCCTTAACAACCCTATTAACTTGTTCAGTCACCTTTAGGGATTTGTAGACAAGCCCCTACCCAAGTTTCCTAGTGCTCTTCCATTCATTGGTACAGTGTTAAATGAATACTCAATGTCCTCTGCTTCTCAGATTTACTTCTTGGCCCCTTACTGGGCCTGCTCTTTGCCACCCCTTAATATCCTTGTAGAGCATCTGGTGACTTTCTCTAATCTTGTCCACCAGTGTTTTTCTTACCACTCCTTTGCTCTAATTACTTTCCGAAGATTTCTCCCTTCCACTTTCTATATTGCTAAAGCCTCCATTGTTTTGCTTCCTTGGTACCGATTGTACATCTCTTTTCCTTTTATCCAGTCTTAAATACTTAGACGTCCATGCTTCTCTGGGCTTGTGGCTCCTACATTTCACCCAAAAAGGGAACACTTGGGCCTGAACTCCACCCCATAAAATCTCCCACTGTTCTGCTGTGGATTTACCATCAAGTATCTGTTTGCAGTTACTTAGACCAGATCCTGCCTTGTTTGAATACAATCTGCCATACCCCAATCCAAAACCCTGTTTTGCAAACCACCTTGCTCCTTTTCCAAAAGAAATTTTAAAAAAAAACAAAAAAAAAGTGTTATGGTCACCATCACCTCAAAAATCTACCTGGCTTTGTTCCCCAAACTTTGGCCCAACACTGCATCATTTGTAGGGCCACCTACATGTTGATAATAAGCAGCTCTCCTTTCATGAAATCTGCTCTCTCTAAACCCTTCATAGTACGATTCGTGCAATTAATATTGAATTTCCAAAAGGCATTCAGTAAAGTATATGTTAGGCTACTTAAGAGGCCAATGTATTGGGGGCAGCATATTAGCATAGTTAAAAGACTATCCCAAATCTGTCTTCTATTAGTCAACCAAAGGTGGACAGTAGCCTGTAACTAGTGAAATACCACAGAGATCAGTGCAGAGGCCACAATTATTTACTATAATGATTTGGACGAGGCAAGCAAATATACCAGTGCCAAGTTTGTGATAGCACAACTGTAAGTAGAAAGACAAATGGGGGAGGATGACAGAGTCCACAAAGGAACATACACAGGTTATGCAAGTGGACAAAAACTTGGCACATTTAATACATTGTAGGAAAAATGTGAGGTTATGCACTTTGGCAGGAAGAAGAGGAACTTTGATATTATGCAAATTTCGAACTTTGCATCAAGCTGCAGACAAAGGAATTGCGGTGACCTAGCGTATGAATCACAGAGTTAGAATACAAGTTCAGGAGGTAAGAGGGAATTCAAATGGAACGTAGGCCTTCATTTCAATGGAATGGAATCTAAAAATAGGGAAGTCATGCTAAAACTATACATGTCACTAGTTTGGGTAGTCACCAACTGGAATACTTTAAGACTATATTTCAAATAAAAAAAGGACCAGGAGGTGGTCATTAAGCCCCTCAAGCATCATGGCTGATTTGACATCCTGCCCTTTCCCCGAAACCCTAGAGGCTGAAAAGATCTCAGGAAAGCAGGACAGTCATACTGGCCTCAAAATGTTCAGTTTCTTTCCACAGATTCTACCAGACCAGAGTTTCCCCAACAGTTATTATTTCAGATTTCCAGTATCTGCAGTATTTTGCTTTTGCAGAAAACAGGAATAACAGCAGGGCATTCAGTCCCTCAAGAGACACTATAGGAAGATAAATAGGGAGAAATATTTCCTGTCAATGGGTCAACAATCTGGGGCAGTTTTAAAGCCAAGCTTTAGAAGGAATTTCAGGAAAGTTTTTTCACCCAGAGAGTTGTGAACATCTGGAACACTCTGCCTAAAAGGGTGGTCGAGACAGCAACCACAAAGACATTTAATAACCATTTAGATGAGCACAGGAAACACCAAGGAGTGGCAGATGGAGTTTAGTTCAGATAAATGTGAGGTGCTGCATTTTGGAAAGGCAAATCAGGGCAGGACTTGCACATTCAAATGGTAAGGTCCTGGGGAGTGTTGCTGAACAAAGAGACCTTGGAGTGCAGGCTCATAGTTCCCTGAAAGTGGAGTCGCAGGTACATAGGACAGTGAAGGCAGCGTTTGGTGTGCTTGCCTTTGTTGGTCAGTGCATTCAGTACAGGAATTGGGAGGTTATGATGTGGGTGTACAGGACATTGGTTAGGCCACTATTGGAATACTGCACATAATTCTGGTCTCCCTGCTGTAGGGTGTTGTGAAACTTGAAAGGGTTCAGAAAAGACACAAGGATGTTGCCAAAGTTGGAGGGTTTGAGCTATAGGGAGGGGCTAAAAAGACTGGGGCTATTTTCCTTGGAGCGTCAGAGCCTGAGGGGTGACCTTACAGAGATTTATCAAATCATGAGGGGCATGGACAGGGCAAATAGCCAAGGTCTTTTCCCCAGGGTGAGGGAGTCCAAAACTAGAGGGCATAGCTTTAAAGTGAAAGGGGAAAAGATTTAAAGGGGCCGAAGGGGCTTCTTGCTTACACAGGACGGTGCACGTGGAACGAACTGCCAGAGGTGGAGGCTGGTACAATTACAATACTTTAAAGGGCATTTGGATGGATACGTGAAAAGGAAGGGTTTGGAGGGACATAGGTAAAATGCTGGCAAATGAGACTAGATTAAGTTTGGACATCTGGTTACCATCAGGTTTGGCCAAAGGGTCTGTTTCCATGCTGTTCAGCTCTATGAATATGACTGGTGCAGACACAGTGGGCTGAAGGGCCTCTTGCCATATTGTAAAAGTTCTAAGATTCTATTATTTTAAGCCTGTCTCAGCATTTAAAAGATCAAACAAATGTATTTCAATCACAATGCCATTTTTACATACTATCCTGATAGCTTTAACAATATTTCAATCTCTGTCTTGAGTATATAACAAATTGAGTTCCATAGTTCTCTGGGATACAGAATTCCAAAGATTCAACATCTTGTGGGGAAAGAGGGAAGGCATGTTTAAATATTTTAGTACATTCAAAATGCTATATAAACGCAAGTTATTACTGCTGCTCTGATGTACAGAAAAAAATCTCCTATATAAATTACTTCAGGCCTACATTCCAGTCACTCATCCCATCCCACGATTATGATCCAAGGGCATTTTGCAGACTTTAACCCTGTATGTACTGGCTGTTTATTGAAGCAGTCAATATCTCAGGGGAAGACAATAGCAGGATAGTATTAACATGGTAACTGATGGTGCTTAAAACCTCTTCCTCAAAATACAACATCACTAATTCTAAGGGAGGATGAGCAACAAGCCAAATAAAACCATTTCTGGTTGGATTTTATTTTGAGGAAAAAAAGTTGGATAGCTTTCTGATTAATGTATGATTAAGAGTTTAAGACAAGCAAATTCTGTTAATCTCAAGCAAATATACTGAGAATAAGCTTAGTTTTTCTGTGTTTCCATAGTAGTTACATGGGGAAAATAAACTGCATCAGGCTTTGAAACTGTTCACGAGTCATCATTTAACAGGATATTCCACTTAAAAGCAATTATCTTGTCAACCACATTTTAGGTAACGCTCTTCTTTGTATCATCTCCTATGTTTATGTTTTTAAAGCTTTGAGAAGGTTTTCTTGAAGGATTGCAGGACACTGGATAGCCACCAGTAAAGTACAAAACAGTAATCTAATCAGTGGACTAAAATAACAGCAAAGCACGAGTTGTTTGTGATTGTCAGCTGACTCTGAAATCCAATTCTTTCTGGATGTTGACCTAATATTGGTGGTTATGTCAAAGTTGTTACTTAGTGCTGTGGTAGATTCACCAATACATTTATGCTAGTGAACTGTGCACTGCTTTTTGAAGAGCAATTAAAACTACTCTGTACTTGAACTGGCTCCATTAAAAACCCTATTCAATTACCTCCTGTTCATCTCTTTTAACCAATACCAATAGAAAGGAATAATTTGATTAGGGATAGTCAACACGGTTTTGTGAAGGGTAGGTCGTGCCTCACAAACCTTATTGAGTTCTTCGAGAAGGTGACCTAACAGGTGGATGAGGGTAAAGCGGTTGATGCGGTGTATTTGGATTTCAGTAAAGCGTTTGATAAGGTTCCCCACGGTAGGCTGTTGCAGAAAATACGGAGGCATGGGATTGAGGGTGATTTAGCGGTTTGGATCAGAAATTGGCTAGCTGTAAGAAGACAGAGGGTGGTGGTTGATGGGAAATGTTCATCCTGGAGTTCAGTTACTAGTGGTGTACCTCAAGGATCTGTTTTGGGGCCACTGCTGTTTGTCATTTTTATAAATGACCTGGATGAGGGCGTAGAAGGATGGGTTAGTAAATTTGCGGATGACACCAAAGTCGGTGGAGTTGTGGACAGTGCGGAAGGATATTGCAGGTTACAGAGGGACATAGATAAGCTGCAGAGCTGGGCTGAGAGGTGGCAAATGGAGTTTAATGTGGAAAAGTGAGGTGATTCACTTTGGAAGGAGTAACAGGAATACAGAGTACTGGGCTAATGGTAAGATTCTTGATAGTGTGGATGAGCAGAAAGATCTCGGTGTCCATGTGCATAGATCCCTGAAAGTTGCCACCCAGGTTGATAGCGTTGTTAAGAAGGCGTACAGTATGTTACGTTTTATTGGTAGAGGGATTGAGTTTCGGAGCCATGAGGTCATGTTGCAGCTGTACAAAACTCTGGTGCGGCCGCACTTGGAGTATTGCGTACAGTTCTGGTCACCGCATTATAGGAAGGATGTGGAAGCATTGGAAAGGGTGCAGAGGAGATTTACCAGGATGTTGCCTGGTATGGAGGGAAGGTCTTATGAGGAAAGGCTGAGGGTCTTGACGCTGTTTTCGTTGGAGAGAAGAAGGTTAAGAGGTGACTTGATAGAGACATACGAGATGATCAGAGGATTAGATAGGATGGACAGTGGGAGCCTTTTTCCTCGGATGGTGATGGCTAGCACGAGGGGACATAGCTTTAAATTGAGGGGTGATAGATATAGGACAGATGTCAGAGGGAGGTTCTTTACTCAGAGTAGTAAGGGCGTGGAATGCCCTGCCTGCAAAAATAGTAGACTCGCCCACTTTAAGGGCATTTAAATGGTCATTGGATAAACATATGGATGATAATGGAATAGTTTAGGTTAGATGGGCTTCAGATAGGTTTCACAGGTCGGCGCAACATCGAGGGCCGAAGGGCCTGTACTGCGCTGTAATGTTCTATGTTCTATGTTCTAATACCAATCTACTCCCAGATTACAGATACTGCTGTTTTTGGGGGGAGTATTCTATGTTCTACGTCATCTATAAAATTTGAAAATAAGTCTATGCTCTTCACCTTTGGATGATCTTAAATTTAAGTTTTTTTGTTATTGCTGCATTAAGTAAAGAAAACAATTTCTCCATCTACTTTGTTATAACATTCATATGAAGCAGACAGGGTCATTTGGTCCAACGTGCCTATACCAGTGTTTTTGTTCCATGAGTGTCTTCCTGCTATTTACTGTGGCTAAGCTCATAACAATGTTGAATATGTTTAGTCATATTTTCTCATCATCCTTTGGCTAAAATGGGACAAAATGCAATCAGTTCTTCTAAGCACAGAATTATCAGAGGCGGCAGGGGCGATTCAGCCCATCACGTCTGCACCATCTCTCAATGAGCATTGTGACTTCATGCTGTTCTCCTGCCTTTCCCCCCCACAGTCCTAAGAAGTTTCTCTTTAAATGATCACTGAACATAACTCTGAATCTCAGCATCATATACTCTAGGTTTAAAAGTTGCTCCATGTACAGGTGACGGTTGTGAACTTAAATCAGATCAGTCTTGATATTAACAAGGACAGAGCAAAACAAGCTCAAGAGGCTAAGTGGGCTAATTCTGTTCCTAATTTGTACGTTTTAATCTTCACTTGCTGTTGTGAAGAGGAAATACAAGGATATATAAAGCTATTACTTTAACAATCATGTGCTTTCAAAGAACAGTCCTGAATCAGACGACAATCTTGTATTTCTTCGAATGCATTTACCATTGATTGAACTGTCCAATCCATCCAGCTCTAGTGCATTGGTACTGTTTTCTTTATTCTTGTCGACAAGCGGAACGAAGCCATCTTCACAGATTTCCTTCAAGAAGGAAAGTGATGAGACAACTTCAAAATATTCCCAATTTAAATTAAAATCCAAGATGTTAAAAATTGGACACATTTTTAGAAACGTGCAGTTCAGAGATGCCAGGATCTGGGTCAAAACTTGTGGGTTGAAGGTTCTCTCTCAATTGATTACAACATTATTACTTTATTCTAGCTTTAAATGGTTTGGACATCAGTAGAGTAAAACAGCAATTCCACTTTGGGCCATAAGGACAACGCAAGATAGGATTTTACTCTGGAGTAGGTCATGGTGCATCCAACATCTGCACCTACATTAAACGAGTAAAAAAGGTCTAAAAAAAGTGAAGTCACTGTTGTCCCTCCAGACAATAGCACTGTTCTCTCATTAGAAAGCAACAACTGGTAATGGTTTAAATCAGAGGGTCACCAAACCTCAGGTCAGGAGAGGTTAAAAGGAAGACAGTCCTTTATAGTAACCTCAGCTAGTGCAGGAATTGTACCCACTGTTTTGACATCCCTGTGCATCACAAACCAGCTGCTCTAGCAAGCATGCAATGAAGTTGGAAAATATAAAGTGAATATTGGTGTATTAGAAACAAAACTGACAGCACAAGTTTTAAAACTACTTCACTGCGAGAGAGAGAGAGTATTAAAATGTTGTGATTTACGTTGAACATCTCTCCATTCTACCACAGCAGCATGGAAGCTCTTCAACTGCTCTCACCAACATTTATCACTACCAAATTAGCTGGTGACTTATTTCAATGTTATTCATGGGGATTTACTTCCATAAAACTGACTGCCTTATTTGCCAAAACCACAATAACTACACTTAAATTACTTCACTGGCTGGCAAGTGAATTCAGCTGCCCTAAATCAGTCTTTCAAAATATACACACCTGGTTTTGCAAATTATTTCGATTCAAATAGTGACTCCAAGGGTCAGGGATCTGCTCATCTGTTCCACTTGATGGTAGCCGTGAGTTAAATTTCAGCAAATAGCACCCCTGTGACCCATATCTCTGTTTCATTTCTTCATAAACAGATTCCGCTCTGCAGGATAAAATTAGAACTCAAAGATAATGGGTTGAGTCAGAATCATTACTCTAACAGTCAAACAGAAATTAAAAATGTGAAATCAAATATTAAACATGTTTGAATGTAAGAATTTCTGATATTAGAGTCTTCAACCTCAACAAAGGAAGCAATGAGATTGATGCAAAAGGTGGCCAGAGTGATCGGGAAGCACGAAAAGATTTGACCGTGGACAGATGGCTGGTACTATAATGCCTATAAACAGATATGCACTCTTGAGGCACAATTATCCAAAAAGGAGAAGTGTATCAATTGTGTTTATTGAAAGTTAGAGACTGCGTTAGTTCCAAGGAGTGGCTTATAAAATGTCAGAAGTGTCACGGTAAATTAGAGGGTGACGACCCTACGAAGGACGGCCAAGTAACTTATAAGGAAGGGAAAGAAAAAAGTATACCAATGCAAGCAAGAAACAAAAAGGCAAACTGCAAAAGCTCGATTAATAACGTGATAGGAAATAGATGACGAAGGGTAAAATGTAGGCCTATTACAACTGAGAATAGCCAAACAGAAAAACTGAAGGTATTTTGCAGCTATCCCAACAGAAGATGATAAAACCTCTCAGAAATAGTACGTGACGTGAGGTCTTGTGTAATTGAAGAACTGAAAGAAATTAGTGTTAGTAAAGAGGTCTCACTTGAAATATGAGTTGATTTGAAGGCTGTTCAGTCTCTTGGACCAGATGAGCTATATTCAGGAATGTTGAAGAAAGCAGCTAAAGAGACAATGGATGCAGGAGATTCCAGAAAGGTTCCTACTCACTGAAAGGTAGCATGTGTAATCCCACCATTTAAGGGATGAAAAGTAAATTGGAGAACTACAGTCTGTTAGCCTGAAGTTCACAGTAGGAAAATGTTGGAATGTTAGAAGATAATGGTACACTTGGGCAGTCAACATGGATGAGAGAAAAGGGAAAATGTCTGACAAGCTTGCAAGCTTTTGAGGATATTATTTATATTTATAGCTTGGAGCAAGAACAACCTGTGAATGCAGTACATTTTAATTTTCAAAAGCTCTTGACAAAGATCAAGAGCAGGTTAGTAAATAAAATTTTGGACGACTAGATTAGCGTGGATTGAGAATTGGTTAACAGACAGCAAGTAGAAGAAAGAAACAGATCATTCTCAGAATGGCACGCTTTATTCGTGGGATAATTAATGCAAGGATCAGTGCTAGGTCCACAAATCAAGTTGGATTTGGGAACCAATTTTAAAGAAAGATTTCCAAATTTGCTGACGGCACCAAACTGACTGGGATCACAAGTTGTGAGGAGGGTGCAAGGCAGCTTCAAAAGGACTTGGATTGGCTAAATGAATGGGCTAGAATATGGTTGAGGGAATTTATTGTAATTGTCTCAATTTATTCACTTATGCAAGGAAAAAAACAAGGCATATTATGTCTTAAATGTGAGGGGTTAGTTAGTTTGGATGTCCTTATCCATGATTTGCTGGTATAAAAATGCAGGAAAGAATTAGGAACACAAATAGTCTGCTGGGCATTTATTTCAAGGGAGTTGAAATGCAATGTCATCTTGTTGCAGTTGTAAATAGCCTTGGTGAAACCTCACCTGGAGTACGGCTTTGGTCTCCTTATTTAACAAAGGGTGCACTGGCCATACAAGAATGAGAGAGGTTTACCAGAATCCCTAGGAGTGGTGGAATGGTTTTGAAGAAAGATGGAGGAAACTGGGTCTGCATTCCCTATACTTTCAAAGAATGAGAGGTGATCCCATTGAAACTTGCAAAATTCTGAGCCTGACAAGGTAGCTATAGATAGGATGCTTTCCCTGGCTGTAAAGTCTAGAACGATGAGTCATGATCTCAGGCTAAAATGAACTTGTCAAGACCAAGATGAAGAATTTCTTCACCACAGAGGCGGTGAATATTTAGAATTCTCTATCCGAGGGGGCTGTGGAAGCTCAACCCATGAGACGAGATTCAAAAGATTGAGACATGAGATTCAAGACAGGAATGGGGCAACATGATGGCTCAGGGGTTAGCACTACATCCTCACAGCACCAGGGACCTGGCGTTTGATTCCACCCTTACGTGACTGTGTGCAGTTTGCATGTTTTGCCTGGGTTTCCATCAGGTGCTCCAGTTTCCCCCCACAATCCAAAGACGTGCAAGTTAGGAGGATTGGCCGTGCTAAATTGCTCACAATGTCAAGGGATGTGTAGGTTAGCGCATTAGCCATGGGAAATGCAGGGTTACAGAGATGTGGTAGGGGGATGGGTTTGGGTCGATGCTCGGTATGGACGTGTTGGGCCGAATGGCCCGTTTCCACACTGTAGGGATTCTATGGAAACAGATGATTTTTTTCAGACTGATGACATGAAGGGATATGTGGGAAAACAGTGTTGAGGAAATGATCAGCCACAATCTAGAATGGGCCTAGTCCTCTTTTCTGTTTATTTGATTAAATCTGACCGACGATTGAGGCACACGGTGCTATGGACCAAATGATCACAAAATTTAATTCAAGCAAAAGGCAGCCAATCTATTACAATATGAAGTGTTTCAAATGAATTTCTCCTGCACATGTGGACGTGAATTCACAATGTGGAGTTGCTGGTGTGGCCTGAACAAAGGAGCTATACTCTGAAAGCATGTGTTTTCAAAGAAACCTGCTGGACTAAACACTGGTGTCATGTGATTTCTGACAATAATTCAAGCAAAAAAACTTTGTGCTAACAGGAGTAGCCCACATAATCTCTCAAGCCTGTTATGATGCAATGTATAACAGAAATAATTCAATATGACATCTCCTCCAGAATCTCTCCAATTGAGTTCCTTCAAATCAGGACATCAATTACAATTGGAAATGGAGCATTTTTCTCATTTATTTTGAAATGCAAACTCTTTAGGCATCTGGTCTAAAGCACTTGATTAGTAACTTACCAACTGTCTTTCTTCCATTGCAGAAAATACTTGGCTCAGTGTCTTACAAGTTACTGCCACTAATTCTCAACATGCATGGGGTGAAGGTAAAATAAAATCAACAGCACTTAAATAGGCAGGGAAGATAATGGTTCCTGATAGGTCACCCACCATCAGGTAAGAGTAGACAGTGCCCAGTGTCCAAAATCTCTTCAAAGAAGAGCAATACAACACAAATACAGACCCTTTAACCCTCCAAGCCTGAGCCACCACATTTTGCCCTTCCATACCAAAACTGTCCTCACTTATAAGACCCATAATCTCTATTCCCTTCCTATTAGTGTATTCATCCAGGTGCTTGAAAGCTGCCACTGTGTCTGCTTCCACCACCTCCTCTGCCAGCGCATTCCAGGCACTCACCACCCTTTGAGAGAAAAACTCACCCCCTCCTTCCCCACCCCACCACCATCTCCCCCCCCACCCCCCCACCCCCCGCCATGCCCCTCGCACCTTGAACCGGTGTCCTTCAGTAATTGGCCCCTCCACCCTGGGAAAAAGCCTCACACTTTCCACTCTATCCATGCCATTCACAATCTTATAAACTTCTATCAGGTCGCTCCTCAACCTCCTGCGTTCTAGTGAAAACAAACCTAGTCTATCCAACTTTTCTTCATAAAGAAAAGCCCCCATACCAGGCAACATCCTGGTAAACTTTTTCTGCACCTTCTCCAAAACATCCACATCCTTCTGGTAATGTGCTGACCAGAACTGTACGCAATATTCCAAGTGCATCCTAACTAAAGTTCTTATGCTGCAGCTTCATACTTGTCTATACTTACACTCAATGCCCCCTCCAATGAAGGCAAACATGCTATAAAGAACAGCGTGGAGCTGAAGGAACACAGCAGGCCAGGCAGCAGAGGAGCAAAGTTGACATTTCCAGTCAGGACTGTTTTTAGAAATGGGGTGGTGGAGAAGAGCTCAGGAATATAAGAGAGGGGAGGGGTGGGGCTGGGGGAAGGTGGGATGGTGATAGTTGGAGTGCAGGTAGGGAGTGGTGGGAATTGGTCAGTGAGGTGGGAGGGGTGAATAGGTGGGAGAGATTATGGGCAAGTTGTGTCAGGTCAAGGAGATGGGGATGAGAGGGAAGGTTGTAATGGGATGAGGCTGGGGGTGGGGAGATTTTGAAACTGGTGAAATCCAAGTTTAGGACATTGGGCTGTAGGCTCTCGAGGTGGAATACGAGGTGCTGCTCCTCCAGTTTGCGGGGAGCATCATTGTGACACTGGAGACAGCCCAGGATGGGCACGTCATCCAGGGAGTGTGGTGGGGGGGTGGGTGTTAAAATGGTTCACGACCAGAAGGTGGTGTTGTTTATCACGAACAGAGCGCAGATGCTCTACAAAACGGTCTCTGAGCCTCCGCTTGGTCTCACCAATGTAGAGGCCACATCAGGAACAGCAGTAGCAGTAGACAAGTTGACAGATGTGCAGGTGAACCCTCGTCTAATGTGGAAGGTTTGTTTTTACTACCTTATCTACCTGCGCTGCCACATAGTGATGTGGACCTGCACATCCAGATCGCTCTGCATATGAATACTCCTAAAGGTCCTGCCATTCACTGTATCATTTCCACCTGTATTTGACCTTCCAAAAACACATCACCTCACGTGTCCAGATTGAACTCCATCTGCCATTTTTCTGCCCATGCCTCCAACTGATCTATATCCTGCTGTATCTCTAACCATCCTCTCACTATCCGCAACTCCACCAATCTTTGTACCCTCCAAAGCTTACTAATTAGACCAGCTACATTTTGCTGCCTGTCATTTACATAGACCACGAACAACAGAGGTTCCAGCACTGATCCCTGTGGAACACCACTAGTTACAACCCTCCTTCCACAACTACCCTTTGTCTCCTGCGACTAAGCCAGTTCTGTATCCATCTTGCCAGCTCACAACTGATACCAAAGATCCCTCAAACCATCCTGCAAGCGAACCTCAAGGTAAGAGTGGGAAAGGCAGAAAAAAAATTTTGTAAGATTATAATTTCTATACATAAAATGTGACGTGGACACGCTGGTGTTGGACTGGAGTGGACAAGGTCAGAAGATTTAACAGCATCTTAGGTTTGTTTAATGCATGCTCATCAGTGGTGTGACCCTTGGATCTTGTATTTATAAATTCTGTGCATCTGATACTACCTCTCTCACTAACACCTGGAGGAGGAGTGAGGCTCCGAAAGATCTATACATAAAGGCAATGTGCTGAAAGGTCTCTAGCCCTGGAGCATTTTCCAAAAAAAAAAAAAACACAACAACCAAACTGCCAAATGGGCAAACACTTCATTCTTTCAAGAATCTTCCAGTACCACGTCATGATGCAACCAAATATACATAATTTTCCACGACTGACTCACTGCCACTAGTACCACTTCAAATGGTGCAAGGTAGCAAACTGCAACAGTACCCAATACAGAAAGGCCAAGCACAGATAGTTTCTAACTATCCTTACTGATGGGGCTGTGCTTTAACTGCTGGAAAAGGACTCTGCAGTTACAGCTTTGGGAAACTATTGTACCAAGGATTGTTCTATCAATATGATCTGTTATTGTCTTTTCTGCAACCGAGTACTCAGCATTTCAGCACAGGGTACAGTTTTCTCAGGGTGTTTCTAGGCCGTTCCAGATGTAGACCACGCTTCACATAAAGGCAGTTAAGTGTAACTGACTCCAACACCATCTCTTTGTTTGAACCCATATTACCCAATTCTAGAGTTTGAAAGCAATTTTTAATATTTGAAGAACTGGCCCAAGGTCATATGTAATAAACCTTACCTTTGTTCCTCCCCTTCACTCACATCATGTAATAAAACATAATATTTTAGTGTATTTGGAATGAACCACTTCGGGAAGGAGTAATCACTGCTATGTTGAATACGATGTTGCTCTTGTGATAATTTCAAAAACTGGTCCACTGGGTCAGAGTCCCTCGATGAGGCCACAAGCATGCCTTACAAGAACATTAAGGAAAACACGACAACAATTTCAGCCCAATTTCCTAAAATGTAATGAACTGATGAACCACCTTGATTCAACCCTTAAGGATAGAGCAGAATTATGTTTGAGAATTCAAGGCCACCAATTCTTGCTCAAACAACATCCATATCTAGGAATAAAAACCTAAAAAACTGTGGACGAGTTCTGAGGAAGGGTCACTGGGCCTGAAACATTAACTCCGATATCTCTTCACAGATGCTGCCAGACCTGCTGAGGTTTTCCAGCAACTTCTGTTTTTGTTCCATACCTAAGGCTTGGAGATTTGGCCCTTGGCCTTTCTGCAATGACAACGTGGACATGCCATATTTACAATAAGTCAAGCTTGTATTACACGAAAGAAAGGTCTTATTCCACTCCATGTTTTGTAGTGCTTAGCATCTCAAGCAGAAGGAATTACTTCAGCCAACGTGCAAGAAGTCTAGTATGAATAAGGAAGCTAGGTGAATGCATCAAGTCTGAGCCTCACAGGAGACAGATTTCTTAGAGATTTGCTGTCAGCAATGGCTGAATTGCAACACATGATTAATTGAGAAGGTTGAGCACCAAACCTAGACTGACAGGAGTGCTGCACTCAAGATGAAAACATTTGCTGTTTTAAACAACAAAGGTCTCCCTGATGTTCTGATCAATGTGTATCCCTCACCCAACTTCACAATAATGAAAAAATTTGGTTGTTATCACAGTGTTGCTTGAGGAAAGTTGCAGTGCACAAAATGGCTGCTGCATACACCAATGTTCTTGCTCATGAGTATCCCATACTAAGGGATATTGGCTTAGTAAAAGATGGTATATAAATGCCAGGTCTCTTTGTTTGATGTCCTTTTTCTGAAGGACTTAGATCAAAAGGTCAGTGATAATATACCACGTGTAATTTGCGTTCAATTTACATCAATGACTGTCCTCAATCAATCAAGGTGGCTAAATTTGACCTCTAATCTATTTAGATTTAAACCAATTTAAACCTCTGGGTATGTCAATATTCAAGTCGTCTCATTTCGACAATTATGCTGGTTCTTTTTTAAAAAATTCATTTACAGAATATGGGCATCACTGACTGGGCCAGCATTTAAATCGCCCCATCCCTTCCCAGCAGAAAATACCAAACCTAAAAATTGTTTCAGAGAAGGGTCTAGGCCCGAAACGTCAGCTTTCCTGCTCCTCTGATGCTGCTTGGCCTGCTGTGTTCATCCAGCTCTACACCTTGTTTCTTAAAAGTTGTCCAACTAAAATTATTTCCTGCACATATGCTATATCAAGTCCTTTTTGTTTTAAAAATAGAGAGTGTAGGAATAAAAGCCTGATCTTACCTTCTTCCCCACACCCCACCCACTCCAGAAACAGGAACATTTCAATGAGAACTGCAAACATGCATTATATAAAATAAGCTGAAACGAAATGTAGAAGTAAAACTTCTGGTCAGACATACCAATGAACAGTTTAACAACCATTTTGTATTAATAGCACAATAATCAGGAATAATCACTTGTTATAAACAGCAAGCTCGGGTTTTTCCTAGACAAAAAACGTGCATAACTTATTTTAACAAACGTTCAATTATCAACTAGCTTTACCAGAGATTCAGTGCATCTGAAAATATTTTTAATGTTAAATAATGAGATAAGGCGTCGCTAGGAATGCAGACATCACCAATGGTCCCAAGGTGGTGATGGGTACGCTACCTTCTGTATAACTGGAGTGCCTTGCTAGGTCATTTCAAAGGATTGCCAAGAATCAAACACATTGCTGGAAGTCTGAAGCACATGAGCCAGATTTGGTATATTTCCTTCCCAGAAGTGTACCAGATGTGTTTTTATAATAATTCAGCAATTTCATGGCTTGAATTCTGTACCTAATGACTGAGCTAAGTGTATCAACATTGAGTTAAAGTAGATACTAATTGAGAATATCAGTAACTTTAAAACTAAAAGCTTGAGCCATTTAATATTTTTTTAGAAGTGAGACTGTTACTTTTAAGCTGCGCACAAACACCTGAATTGCAGTCAAGACCCTAAAACATAACAAATAGGAACAAGAGTAGGCTGTTCAGCCCATCAAGCCTGCTCCATCATCCAATGCAATGATGGCTGATCCAATGACATGCACGTACACTTACCTGCCTTTCCCCCCAACCCTCAATTCAGACCAGAGCAGCATTCCCCTAATTTTGAAATTGTGCCCCATTGTTTTACATGCACTAGCCATGGAAACATCTTGCTTGCGTTTACCCTGTCTATCCCTTTAAGTATTTTGTAGTTTCAATAAGATCACCTCCAATCTTTGAAACTCTAGAGAATACAGGCTAGTTTTGCCCAATCAATCTTCCTAGTTCAGTCCCACCATCCAGGGACAAGTCTGGTGAACCTCTGTTGCACACCCTCAATGGCCATCTCTTTCCTGAGATAAGGAGGCCAAAAGAGCGCACTACTCCAGATGCAGTCTAATCAAGTACCTAAACAACAGAAGCAAGACCTCACTACTCCTGTTTTCAAATCAGCTTGCAACAAAGACCAATAAGCAATCAGCCTAATAGCTTGCTGCACCTGAATGCTAACTTTCAGCGACATACAAGGTGCGCTCACATTATACTTAGCCACACAAACAGCTCCTGACTCTGCATTAAGCTTTCAACCATCTGTGCCATTGATGAGATTGTCCACTTCCAATTCTGCCCTGTTCATCTGCTGCTGAGATCATCACTATGCCATGTTACATCTAGACCTGATTATTCCAATGTTTTCCATTCCCATCTGTCATAAACTTGTGCTCAGCCACAACTTGACCTCCATTACTTATCCTGGCTCATGTAAAACCCCACTCGCGTATCTCCAAGCTTTCCCTGATCGACTTCAGCTCCCAGTCCAAAATCATCTCAATATCAAAATTCACCCCTCTGTGTAACCTTCAATTTCACAAACTGACAGATTTTAGTGCCTGCCAATTCTGGCTTCAACTGTGTTCCAGAAGTGAAGTGCTCTGCCAACAGCAGCTAAGCTTTCACTTACATAGACCCAAATCTCCAGAACTCCTGCCCCAAGTTGCTCCTCAGCTTTCTCAACCTTTACCTAGTATGACATCAGGTTAGAGATTCAAGTATATTTTAAAAATCAAATTTTTTGTAAACGTGGATTTTAAATTTTGAACCGATGGTACAAGTTTGTGCGTCTGAGGGTTTAATGATCAGCTTGTGTTTTTGTACTCTGATTTATTTTGAAACAGTTTGACGAGAGAAGCTCGAAGACCGAATGGATTTCTGTGTACATTGAGAGAGTTTACCAGCAAATAAAGTACCAGCATTGTACATTATGCTTTCTGATGGAAGATTCTGTTTTAAAAACATGGGGGGAAACGTTCACGGCTGGGATAGAAATTTCAGTTTTAGTTTATTTGAAATACCTACAAAGTTTTAACTGAAGATGGACAGGTAAAGCAACTGCACCCGAGAAAGTAGAGGATAGCTTGATTTATTAAAAAAGTTCTCAGCATAAAGGGATATAGGGATTGTTCCAGATCATAAGTGTTTGGGTTAAAACTCCAAAGGGATTATTTGAAGCTGAGAAAGTTTCATCATGCAGAGATCATAAAAAAGGAGATGCATTCTGTTAACAGCTCTAAAAAAAGTCTGATTTCAGATTTATGGGATTATATTTTTACCACATGCTTCAAATTTTTAATATTTATGCAGAATTTGGCTTACTCTATTTTATCTTCATTTCTTTTGCCTGTACCACATCTTCAATATTGCATACTTCTTTTAACTAATTCTTCCATTAGTTAAGACCAAAAAAAACAAAATCCATCAAGCCAGATTTCACTCTGGGATCGGACTTTTCCGGTAATAACATCAGCTGTGATCATACACTTCCTCTGGTCAAACCTTTGATCATCTAGCACCAGATACACTCTGGTGGCTTGGTGCCTAACTTGGTTGGTTAACGTTTGAGAAGTGTGTTTGGGAGTTTTATTAAGTTAAAGATGTCAGATAGAAGCAATTTAACTTCTTTCTTCATTGCAAACATACAGCCTTTTTATTGGTTACACTCAATTATACAAAACATGCTTATAAGCAGCAATGGTAGGCCATTCAGCCTCTCAAGCCAATTCCACCATTCAATAAGATTATGGCTGATCTGACTGCAACCTCAAATCCGCATCCCTTCTATTGAGAAAGTTTTTTTCCAAAACCTCCCGAGTTAAAACTATTTAGACTCTGCTTCCACAACCTTTTCAGGAATAGCGTACCAACAGAAAAATTGGCTCAATCTGTTTTAAGTGGGTAACCATTGATTGTTGACCAGTTACTCCTTGTTCTAGATTTGTCCACAGGAGAAAATATCCTTCCCTCCGATTCAGGATCTTTTAATGTTTAAAGTGTTACAAACAATGGATGCATCTACCCTCCTTGAACTTGACAACACCTCTCCGATCCTCAATTTGTAGCAACAATACATTTTGTACAAATGTGTGTATCCAACCCATCTATAATCCAGAAAAAGGATACAGGCCAAATAGTGATGTAGAAACTCGTGGTCGGATGGAGACATTGATTGAAAGAAGCTTTCTCTATAGGCCTCAAACCAGGGAGTGGTAGCTAGAAGAGTACAGAAATTAAAACATAAAAAGACCATTAACACTAATTCATTAATTTAAATATTTTGACAGAAACGATAACTACTAGAAAACATACTTTACAATTTGTGGCAACAAGCTGAACTTTAGGTGTTATGTGCTATCATTCATTCTGACAGAAAAAGTATTAACAATTTTTTCCACAGGTGAAGACACTTATCTTGTGCTCCATAAAACAGAGAGGTGGGAGCTCCTGTGGTGCAGAAGTAGAGTCCCTAACCCCGGACCAAGAGGCCCAGGTTCAAGTTCTACCTGCTCCAGAGGAGTGTAATAACATCTGAATCGGTTGATTAGAAAAACAGGTTAATTTAAAAAAAGTGTTTGCAAGAACTTAAACCCTAAGGAAAGCTTCAAGAATTATTCACCAAAATCAAAAATGATCAGTTGAATCCATCTGAAAAGGGGCCAACTGGGGTTATGCAACAAGCATCTTTAATATGAACTTTCCAAAGTGCTTCATAAAATATTTCCGGACAAAGTCTAACAGGTAACCAAAAGCCCAAAAGATGTGTGTTTCGGCAGCCTCTTAAAAGAACAACACAACCGAGGGGTTTAGGAAGTGAATTCCTTAACTTGGAGGCTAAAAGCCTTGAAGGTCAAGATAAAGCTGCTAATGAAAAAAGTAAAGCAAATCAGGGAAGCACGAGAAGCAAAAACTTGATTAGAATCAGAATGCTGGGATGGTTTTGGGGCTCCATGCATTGGGAGCAATGTTCCGTTTGAGCTGCATGGTCACTCAGGTTCTGTGCAATACTTGTAGTTCCAGCAGCCACTGCACAGACCTTGGAGGTCCATGAAGTGGCAGGAAGTATTAGAACAAATTCAGGTTGAGAGAGGCAAGTCAATGTAGGAATTCACCACAAGGATGAGCAGCTTACTTTTGAAGCACAGCTAGAAGAACGGGGACCAATGTAGGTCAGCGATCAAAGGAATGATAAATGAGAGCCCGTATACAGGCAACAGCCAATTTTGACCTCAAAAGTCAAAGCTCTGTTTATGGAACGGTTGAAAATTCCTAACTCTTATAGCTAAACACAGTATCACTTCTACCCAATAGTCACATCAGTTTCAGGGTTAAGTATGCAACATCAACAACTGCACATTTCACTGCTTAATGAAAATCTATTTCTCAGCAGTGTTTTCTCAACACCATGTCGTTCTTAGATGAGCTTTCATTCCCTAGGAAAATGAAATCTGAACTTAGCAATGTGCACTTCAATAATTACATAATCATGTGATGAAAATAATCCAGACAGGTATTCCTATGTTGCTGGCCCCATTAAGATAGAAAAATAAAATTATACTAATCGCAACTGCATAGCCGGAGTTCAATATTTTGTCCACTGTTTTACTCCAAGACTTGTTAATTAATAGTACAAGAAATATGTAATTAGATTACACTATAGCATGTAAACAGTCATAAGGGTCTTCAGCAAGACCTTTTTTAAAAAAAATCCTAACTGTAATAGCACTGAATCACGACATAAATATATTGTTCAAAGTATATTTGTATTGGTACAATTCCACAAATTAAGCAAGTCACCCAAGTCCATAACTCATACAAGAGTCTCAGTATCAAAGTGCTGACAAGCTAATCAACAGAGAACAGCAGCAGGTGCACAGTGTTTTTTTAAAATCTAATATCCATAGATTTTTACCGACGCGCAAGATACAGCGAAGAGGGGCTTGAGGCAATAGGATAGCACCTCCCAGCACAGGTAATATCTAAACCATGTGAGTTAGTTATGTAAATGAATTCACAAAAGATCTGACTGCAAACTGGAGGAGCCCTGGATTCCTCATTTTATCCAATTTGAGAATGCCCATGATTTGCCACTGTTCGTCTTTAGCACGATAGGCCAGCCACATTTATACTGCAGCGACCTTAAAGGGCTTGTTGCCTGCTGGGATGAGCCAGGCACAGATCTGTTTAATCTATAAGGAACACCAATGTTTCTGCCCAGCAGAGCACATTGCATGTGAACTGTTCTGTCCCAGTCATTTTTGTTGTAGGTGTAGAAATTCTAGTCTTTCAGCATTTCAAGTGATTTTGGATCTTTTGTAAGCTAGGTTTAACACAAGAATAAGCTCTTGCTCCACTGATATTCAACTGAAGTGTACAAAAAATGCTTCTCTCCTGTGTCAGATCAGGCCTTCACTTCAGATGCAATTATGGAGGTTCATAACGTACTATTTGGGTTCTAAATTGAGAGAGATGGGTTTTTGGCTTTCAATTCTGTGCAGAAATTCTTAACGGTCAAACACTTCAGCAGTGGATAAAGACTTAAGGAAACCACATGACTTAGATTAAGTGACTGGACAAGCTGCTCAGTGAGATAATCAAAATGTTTACTAAGTTGAGATTTTACAACATTGGGGGAGAAGTGTTCAGGGACCACAAGGTTGAGTTGAAAGATCCATATCCGCAGCTGTGCTAATCAGCAATCTCAGAACAATCAAAGTAGCTGGAAAAAGCTCCAAGTTTCTTGGAGTTCAATGAGAAAAGACTGTTAGCCTTTGCCTATCAAGGAGAGATAGTGATGATGAGAATCACATCCAGTCAGTCAATGTGTAGAGATTCATCGATAGGTAACACTCACAAACTCATCAGCTGAGTAAGAAATTGAAACTGAAGACAGGAGTGATGCTGCACTGGGGCTGAAGGACAGAGGAGAAAAGTACTGAATCTTTCTTTTTGCTGTTTACAAGATCTTAGAGCTTATAATGCCCCTGTTCTCCTGCTTTTATTGTCCCCCACCAATATTCAGTCATACAGCAGTTCAACTAGTCCATGCTAAACATAGTCCCAAACTAAACTAGCCCCCATGCCTGCTCCTGACCCATATCCCTCCAAACCTTTCCTATTCATGTACCTATTACAAAATTTAAAAGGTATTTGTACTGTACCCACATCCAACACTTCCACTTGCAAACAATGTAAAAAAAACTGCCTCGCCATCTTTATTACAGTGTCCCCCTCCCCTCAAACGTGCCCACGAGTTTTGAATTTCCCCCATCCTAGGGAAAGGCAACTACCATTAACTATTTTATCAAGTCACCTCTCAAACTCTGACACTCCAGTGAACAAAGTCCCCATCTCTCCAGCTTTTATAAGCCAAACCTTTCATACCCAGCAACATCCTGGTAAATCTCTTTTGAACCCTCTCCAGCTTAATATTATCTTTCCTAAATCTGGGCGACCAGAACTAGACACAGTATTCCACAAGAGGCCTCACCAATGTCCTGTACAACCTCAACATGATGTCCCAACTCCTATATTCAAAAAACTGAGCAATGGAAGGCAAGTGTGCCAAACTCCTTGTTAACCACCCTGACTATGCGTGACACAACCATACATCGGGGAAACCAAGCGGAGACTCGGGGACCGCTTTGCAGAACACTTACGCTCGGTTCGCAACAAACAACTGCACCTCCCAGTCGCGAACCATTTCAACTCCCCCTCCCATTCCTCAGACGACATGTCCATCCTGGGCCTCCTGCAGTGCCACAACGATGCCACCCGAAGGTTGCAGGAACAGCAACTCATATTCCGCTTGGGAACCCTGCAGCCCAATGGTATCAATGTGGATTTCACAAGTTTCAAAATCTCCCCTCCCCCCACCGCATCCCAAAACCAGTCCAACTCGTCCCTGCCTCCCTAACCTGTTCTTCCTCCCACCCCAAGCCGCACCTCCATCTCCTACCGACCAACCTCATCCCGCCCCCTTGACCTGTCCGTCCTCCCTGGACTGACCTATCCCCTTCCTAACTCCCTACCTACACTCACCTTTCCTGGCCCCATCCCCGCCTCTTCGACCTGTTTGTTTCCTCTCCACCTATCCTCTCCTCTATCCCTCTTCTATCCGCCTCCCACTCTCTCCCTATTTATTTCAAAACCCCCTTCCCCTCCCCCTTTTCTGATGAAGGGTCTAGGCCCGAAACGTTAGCCTCTCTGCTCCTATGGTGCTGCTTGGCCTGCTGTGTTCATCCAGCCCTGCACCTTGTTGTCTCAAAAGAATTACATACCTGAGCCCCTAGGTCCCGCTGTTCTCCAAGGCCCTACTATTAAATTGTACAAGCCCTAGCCTTGTTTTCATACCAAAATGCAATATCTCATTTATCCAAATTGAATTCCATCTGCCATTTTTCAAACCATTGACGCATTTGATCAATATCCCTTTGAAATATGAGAAAACTTTCTTCACTGTCTACTATGCCACCAAATTTTTGTCAACCGCAAACTTCAAAACACTGAGCAATTCTGCAAGAAACAATTTTGCATAAAAGGGAATTTTACTTTTCCAAATAACATCCATATTGCTCAATACAAACCAACAGTGCTGCCACTGCAACAAAAACAGCAGTTGCTGGAAAAGCCCAGCAGGTCTGGCAGCATTCGTGAAGGAAAAATAATCCGTTAACGTTTCGGGTACGGTGACCCTTCCTCAGTGCTGCCACTGAATGAGTTATGGTATGAAAAAATAGTATTGAGTGACTTCATCCTCAGTCTCAACATCAGATAAATAATAAAAAAAAGTGATATTTCAGAGCACATGAACCACGTCAGTTGCTATATTCACAGTGCTCCTCTAACTTGTTTTTGATATGGATGAGTACCTAGCTATTATACATTGGGCAACTCTTCCACTTGGAAAATTCTGTTCAAACTGGGAGCCATGACTTGGCATTGTCTCTAACCAGTCACCAGCAAAAATCAAATTCTCTTCAGACTCAAACTTGCAAAGTCCTCAGCAAACAAATTTCAAATCCAAGTAAATTCCTGGATTGATTGGATTTGTACAAATACGTCCATCAACTTCTGGAAGTAATATTTCCCAGTCCATTATCCCCGAAGGGAATGTTGACAGCATAATTATATTGGTCTGAATTTTGCCATCAGCACTGAAAAGCACTTACTGCTGACGTCAAAAGAAAGTTGTCACAAACAAACAGCCATCTGCG